CCAAGGCTGTCCCTGAGCCTCACATTATGTGGTGGGAGGTATAGCCACAAGATATTGCTGGTGCAAGACAAGAGACTCAGGGCAGGATTAGCTAGTTACGTGGGTGACAACATCCATACTTAACACCTGTCTGGTTTGTATCTGCAAAATATGTAAAATAGCCAAATGTCAAGGAACAAAATATCCAGTAATTTCAGGAGTTAGGGGGTGTTTTTCCCCAGGGGGATCACCCTGCCATCTCAGCCTTAGATGGGCAGACACCCATCAAAGTTAGAAATTAAACAGGAAAAATCCTGTTAGATAATTTCTGTGAAATAGGAATAATCATGTGCCTTTTGACACCCTAAAATATTTTCATTCCTTATAGTCATGTTGGGATGGTTAAAAAATCCATCTGTTTTGTGGAATACTTCGAGAGCATAGGATGATGCTTTCTACATTGATACAAACTCTTAGTTATTTTCCCATTGGGTCTATGTTATAGCTAAATATTTGTGCATATTTAAGTGGGTTGTAATGACTGAAGGATTTACTGTCAGTGAGAAGACACATCTATTTGCTGGGCGAGAATACAGCAGTATCTTAGTGAAGCTGGTGAAGCTCTGGATTTGATTGCCAAGGGAGGCATTGGGTTTTCCATTACTGGAGCTTTTTAGCATGTTATCAGACAGACCCTCCTCAGGAATGAATAAGATACCTGTTTTTGAGGGAAGGAAAAGCTCTGAATGATTCCTTGAGGTTCCTTTCTGTTCTACTGGTGCTGTAATCTGAAAGACCTTTTGTCTTCCAATACACAGGTGATAGATGATTCCAGTGGACACCAGAATGAGAGTCATGGATCTACCCATGCCACAGTTGTTAGACCTGGGCCTAAAGCCATCAGTGTAAGCTCTTTGCAAGATTTGCATTTGTGATCAAGTAAGACTGTCAGTGTAAGAGTTACCTTTGAGTAGAGAAATGCATGGTTGTCCTAGTCCAAGACAGCTCTTCCACACTTCATCTCTCTTGATAAAGGTATCTTCATCTTTCAGAGACTTGGGTCTGGTTCGCCTGCAGAAGAGGAGACTGAGAGAGAATCTTATCAATGCTTATAAATATTTAAAGTGTGGGGGTCAAGAGGGTGGGACCAGACTCTTTGGTGGTGCCCAGTGACAGAACAAGGAGCAATGGACACAAAATGGAACACAAGAAATTCCACTTAAACATAAGGAGAAGCTTCTTTCCTGTGAGGGTGGTGGAGCAGTGGAACAGGCTGCCCAGAGAAGTTGTGGAGTCACCTTCTCTGGAGACTTTCAAAACTTGCCTGGATGCATTCCTGTGCAACCTGCTCTAGGTGAACCTGCGGGTTGGACTAGATATCTCTGGAGGTCAATTCCAAGCCCTGACATTCTGTGATTCTGTGACTCTTGTACTGCCTGCAGAGAGATTGCCTTGCTTTCTCTGATTAAAAAGAGACACCTGGGGGAACCTTGCTGCTCACACCAGAAGCAAGGGATTGGTGTATGGAGCAGGGGGTTGGTGGATAACATATAGTGCAGCTCAGGAGTTTATATGTCCTGATGCCTCAACACTCAATCCAAACTCAGCTGGGTGGTGAAGATCTCTAAAATCATTTGGGATTGCATTTGAGTCTGGTAGCTGATGTCAGACCATTACTGGTGATGTACACTAAGGGTGTGTTTTCAGATATCCATTTTCCCTTTGCAAAACCAGTGTAAGACCTAGCAGAGTCTTGTTAAAGAAACAGGACTAGTGAGTTCCTTTCAGTAAATTGTATCTAACAGTCTGCTAAAACTGTCAGCAAACTTTCCCTACTGCTTAAGCTAAATATTTCTGTACAAATTTCACCTCCTCTTTATATACCTGTCCTTTCTGTCCCACTATGACAAATCAGCCCATTATACATGGTTAACTTCTTACCGTGGCCTAAAAGACAGACCTAAAATCCTTTGGCCTGAGTTTAAAATCCTTGCTGCAGTATCTAATCCACTTGCTTTTCTCCTAGGCCCTGGTGGAAGGAGTTACCATTTTACATCAGTTTCCATTTTCCTCAGCCCTGCAAAGAATGTCTGTCATTGCTCAGGAAATTGGTGGGGAGAAAGAGGTCTTCACAAAAGGGGCTCCAGAAATGGTAGCCATGTTATGTAGAGCAGAAACAGGTAACTAATATTTGTAAATGCTTCCTAGAAACTCATATATATATATGTGACTTTTTGTAGCACTGTGAAGTAGAAGGTTCAAATGAGATTTCTGGGTCTATAACTTTGTCCTTCAGCCTGAAAAGTTAGAGTCTCTCTATTGTCCAAGTGTAAGGCTAAGCTCTCATACAGCCCTTCTCAGCAAAGAAGGACTGCTAAGAGATAAATGCAAGTACCAACTTCTGTACAAGGTGTACAGTTTCTGCCAGAATAGGTTGGAAATTTGCCTACTGGTCCAGTATGGATCAAAAAAAGTTTTCTTTTTTTCCCCAAGCCTTGAGAGGGCGGCTAGAAAAGCACAGCTCCTTTATTACACCCTGGAAGAAGGTAAGTCTTTGCAGAATAGTATAGGATCCTAAGTGCAAAGTGACAGAGGAGAGGTAATGTCGTCCTTACTGAGTAAAGTTCAGTTCATCAGCTTTCCTTGAGGTCCTTGGCCTATTGGTAGACTCTAGGTGTACCTGCCCTCTGGAACAGGAACCTTCCCTGCTCCAAAACTTCCTTTTATTAGAAAGCAGTCAAATACCCTGATGAACTGTGTTTTCCTCTTTCTGCACAGTGCCCCCAAACTTCGAAAGCAAGCTTCTGCTCTACACAGCACAGGGCTTTAGGGTCATTGGGCTGGCGAGTAAACCTCTACCAGCAGGGAAGCGATCTTCTGACCTAACAAGGTAAGCCATAAACTGCTCCTTACCAGCCGTACTCAGCCCTGGGCTAGTGGTGCCCACGCAGTACCGTTATCACTACAGCCCTGCCAAGAGCAGGTCTGCAGGACAGAGTTTTGTTGCCTTCAGGCCATAGGGAATCTGATACAAATCGGGATATAGATCTGCCTGAGAATGGGTAGAGGGCACTTCACTACCCCATGAAGTGGAGTAACTCAGAATCCTTACTCATTTCTTAGCTCTGGATCAACACAGGAGATATCACTCTACTACACTCTGAAGTCTAGTACACCCCTCTTTCAGTCCATCATTTCTACCAGTCTCCTTGCAGATTTATCCAGGCTTTCAGCTGAAGAGAAGTCTCTTCCTTTTTTTTCCTGGCTCCTTGGTTAAGGCAAACCAGCAGATGACTCCCATTACACTACCTGTTCTCCAGCCCTGGCAAAGTCAGCAGACTGTCTTCTGGTGCTGTCTTGGTCCAATCCCTGTACCTTTCTAGCTTTAGCTTTCTTTAGCTTCTAGAGAACTCAGAAAACTCTTTTGCTATACTCATAGTACTAGTTTTCCACAAGCCTCTCACAAGAACACCTACATATGAATCCATGTGCTTTTACCTCTAGCTTTTGCCTGTGATACTCCAGCAACATCATTTCTGAAACATCTGTGGTTACTTAGCATCTGCTGTCTTCTCTATTAGCTGCAGGTCCTAATCCAGATGGGGCTCACTTGCTCTTTCTCAGGGCTTTTTGCCTTGCTGAAAAAGCCAATGACACTGAGGTGAAGCGTCAGTGGTGTGTTTAATTCTTGTGACAGGTGTCACAACAGACCTATCCAACCCAATGAGCAAATGTGTGCAATGTGGCCCAAAGTTTGTAGTTGTGTGTGCAGTTATAGGATGTGTGATGTATATACTGCCAGGAGGAAAAAGAAAACTGGAGGTCAAATCCAAGATGGGCTGTGAAAGAAGTGACTATTCAGGCACTACCTGACTCAGCTACTCTGCCATGCAAGTGTTTGGCATCACCTCTTCCTTACTACACTGGCTAAAATAAGTGTTTGAAAGCTTTTCTTTTTTTCAGACTCTTCAGAGTCCACCTGTCTCCCTGAAAGTCCTCTAGTTTATGACTCAGGGATGGGATGGTTTACCAAATTCTGTGCTCAGCTGTGTGTGTTCAACTGTAAAAGAAGCAATAGCACAGGTGTAAAGAAAAGAGTAGGAGAAAACAGAAGTTGGAGTTCCCTCCTGCTCTTTGCTCAGGTCCTACTGACAAGAGTAGCAGATACATTTACTAAGGTGTGTTTCTTTGTTGTACAGTCCTCAGATGAGGACTAGTGTGCATGAACTTTTCAAATCAGACCACCACAGTTTTGGAATCTTGCAGTAAACTCAGGGTGCTTTTTTTCCTGCTGGCTAAGGATGGTGCATAAGTGGAAAACCGTCCAACTTATTCATCAGGCCTCATGTTGGTATGTGGAGCAAGTAGGCTGAAATTGGCTCTTTTTTGATTTGGTAATTAAGCAAACATGAGCTGGAAGCTGGCTATGTGCTGAACTAATTCTTCAGGACAAGGGCAGAAGAGGACAGAAGGATGAAAAATCAAGTGAAGAGCCTCCCTGCACAACCAGTACCACTGACTGCCAGTGGGAAGCAAGCCCTGCTGGTGTTGAAACAGCACCACAAAAGACAGGCGGCCTGGGACTGGTAAAAATGAACGAGTTAATTCTTTTGAGCTAGATGGGATGGTTAGGGGTTATAACTGGCTGTCAGAAAATTCAACAGCAAGATAGGCCAAAGGCAAAAAGAAGAATGAAATCTTTGTCTCTGTTCTTCACTGTCAGGGAGGAGGTAGAATCTGATCTGACATTCCTGGGTCTGCTGATCATGGAGAATCGATTAAAGAAGGAGACAAAGCCTGTCCTGGAAGAGCTCAGTGCTGCCCGCATCAGGAGTGTGATGGTCACAGGTATCTAAAAAGCATGCGTTATTTATGTGGCCACTGGTCCAGACAGGGAGGCCAGCCATGTTGGAGTGAACAGTCTGCTGCTTTGTCACTACCACTGGGAGGAAAGGCACAGACATTTGTATCTTTCAGAGAATTGTAGTCCAAGAAGCATCTGTGTTGTAATAATTACATGAGCTGAACCCTGCAGGATTATGTCCCTAATAACTTCACCAGGCTGTGTCAGATGCTTAACTCTTAATCTGTCCCACTTTCACCACAGATCAGAGCCTTCTGTTCCTCTGATGCTTTCCAGTGAGTTCATTTTTCTCCCTGGTGAAGTTATCAGGTGACATGCACAAAGACATGTCATGCATGATCCCATCTTTGTAGGGCCTCATGAATTTCTGTTGTCATAGATGAGCAGAGGTGGGACATGGATGCCAGGACAAATCACTGAACCTTATGACATCTGTTTGCTCATGCCTACCAGTCCCTATTTATCCCATGCTTTCCTTGAAGGGCTGGTTTGGATTTGGATAGGATAACCCCTAGTTTTTCCATGATCCAAAGATATTTTTCCAGGAGTCGCACAGAACTTGTCTTTTTGGGCTTCCCCCCTTTCAGGACACATCCTGCACCAAAGCCATCTAAGGCAAATCGATGACTATCAGTGATACTAACAGCAACTGAGCAGTGACTCCTTTATTGTTTTTTCTCTCTAAAACACACTGTCTAGGAGCAGGTTCCCCATCTGGATTTCTTCAAGCTGAAAATGAAAATATTTCATTTTCAGATGAAAATATGTTTCATTATTGAGACAGACCTCATCTGCAAAGTTTTGATCTTTATCAAAAATGTTCTTAGGCACAGACAGGAAAAGGCTGTTTCCATGCTTGAACAATTCCTCATTACAGAAATTTTTAGATAACACTCCCCTTAATTTTTCTAGGTGACAATATTCAGACAGCTGTAACTGTTGCCAAAAATGCTGGGATGATATCTCCAACAAACAGAGTGATTCTTGTGGAAGCAAAGAAAATACCTGGATCTTTATCAGCATCTATAACCTGGAAACCACTAGAAGAAAACAAAACTGAAGATTACAGAAGCCTGGTGAGCATACAAGAAGCAAGTGTTGTGCAGCAGGAAGACAGATTAAGCTGGAATGCTTTAAGTAATGCAGTGGGATTATGCTAGTGTAACAGAGACCAGTCAGTCACCCTCGTCTGCATGCCAGAATGTTATGTGCTAGAAGGGTGTTTTAAAAGAAGGGATCTTTATAAAAATGTACACCCTAGCACTTCCTTCCTAGCATATTATCTTGTGAACACATTTTTTTTTCTAACTGCTTAGCTAAGTTTGAAACCTAGGAAAGATTTGTCTTTAGCCCTCATGCTTAGCTGTTGTCAGTTACAGCACGTTTCCTTTCCTTGCAAGGTAAATTTGCTAGTATATGGACTTCAAGCCTTTGGAACTACACTGAATGAACCAGCTCTGTGCAAGCAGGTAGAGAGTTAGCACTTCTCCATACCTGCAGAAAGAAAACAGATGAACTGCTGAGAAATTACATCTCCACTGTGAAACCTAGGCTAGCTGTGCCAAGAAGTTATATTTGACTGAGCATGTCCACAAAGAAACTGAGGCAGAGACCAGTTACTCTCTCCCTGAAGAGTATGTCAGCACCTTGAGGTGCTGAGCCTTCTAGATGATCAGGAATCTCTGCAGGGCTTGTTGAAGGGCTCCTTTCTACCAAGGCTCAGCCTGAGCAGCATCTTCACTGCATTTCACTGCAAAAAGGCATGCCTAGCTGTGGTGCCCATATGCTCTCTAGGCCCTCTCACTCACCATGCAGCCCACCAGACTGGCACTCTTGCATAAATTCTATCAGATATGGCAATGCTGAGAGGCAGCTTTTAAGACACAGGAAGCACCCAGTTCACAAACACTGAGCTTAATGGCATTGTATGCCTAAATCCCTTTACGAATCCAGGCAAAGGCAATGGTTCTTGAACCCAGGTCTCCCGGAGCCTACACAGGTGCCCTCCCCATGGTATGCCCTTTTCTTTGTAGTGGTACCTGTGTGACTGCCCATAGCAGCTTCTGAGGGCCCGGGAGCAGCACTCATTCTGTCTTGTTTTACAGGAGGATGACAGGCAGACCGACCGAGGAGTCAGGCTGGCCTTGGGACCAGCCCGGTATCATTTTGCCATGAATGGAAAATCTTACCAAATTGTAGCACAGCATTTCAGGCACTTACTTCCAAAGGTAAGGTCTGGATTATTTAACTGGAGTAGGCTTGCCATTCAGTAGACTTGGCTTGTCCTGAGTTAATTAGCTGAAGATGTCTGTATCAGGACATCTTTGGGGAACAATTTTAACCCTGAAATACTTACGGGCTGGATGAATCTCCGATATTAACATACAGGGAAGGATCTGAAAATCCCTGGATTTTTTCTGCATGTGAGAGGAGCAGACCTGCTTCATGGGGTGAAGATGTGAGTTAAAAATATTTTTATCCATATGCCTGGCTCTTGCAGAGCACTGATTCTGTCCTGTGTTGGAGGACAGGAGAAAACATGGTATTACACAGCATCCAATTCAGCACGACTTGTCTGATTTATGCAAAGGATAATCTCATGAATTCTCTTCTAGTAAATCCCTGTCTGGTAATCTGTGTTCATCAGATAATTCAAACAACACACCAGGCCTCTTGTCCTTATTGTGATTGTTATTTTTTGAAAAATATTGATTAAGATACCTTTTATCTTTGATCATCAACCTTTCCTGCTTTGGAGTCTAGCATCAATTGTTTTCAAATGTGATTTTTTGGTGGTTTCTATTCCAGATTATCACTGAAATCACTGTGACTTACCCAAGTGCTTGAAAAATTACTTCCTTTTTTTCACCTTACAGCTCCTGCTGCATGGCACAGTTTTTGCTAGAATGTCTCCTGGTCAGAAATCCAGCCTTGTAGAAGAGTTTCAAAAGCTGGAGTAAGTTCATAATGTGCACTAAGAGTTCTGAAGTGTTTGATGAAATTCCAGGCTTGAAAAGAGTCTAGTAAGAGCCAGCATTTGTCTAACGTAACATTTCCTTGAAGTTTAGAAACCTGAAATTTCCACAGACGTAGAACTTAACTGTAGGTCACTCTATTTTTCAGTTACTTTGTGGGCATGTGTGGAGATGGAGCAAATGACTGTGGGGTAAGTGAAAATTCTTTACAATGTATTTATTTATAAGATGAAAAAATGCAAGGCCAGTAGGATATCCCAAACTGAGCACATGTTGGAGGTGGGAGTGCTTTGCTTATTCACAGGGCAGCTGTACTGGCTCCAGTACTGATTTGGGCCTGATCCCACAGCATAGTCCTTACCATGCAAGAGCTGTCCTAGGCAGAGATTGTTGCAGTTTGTGTTCTCAAGGACTGGTTCATGTCCTTTGCAGAAACCACCAGAGGATTCTCCAAATCCTCCACTGGGCTTTCTGTCAACGTCTTCAGTGTCTGAGGGTGGAGAAGACTAGGGTGAGGAGGAGTTTGCGTGGGGAACAGATGTAGCCCCGCATGGTTTTTGTAAGTGATCATTTTAGAAGTGCAAGAAAGTTTGTTTTTTTTTTTTTTTTTACCAAAAGGAAGGGTCCATGTTCAGTAGGAACCCGTAACTGTTGTAGGCAGGTTCAGTTCACTTCATGACTTCACACATCCTTGTGGCAGTGAGAGCAATCCCACCTAGGCAGTGAAGCTCTCACTTGCCCTAACACAAAGTCCCAAGAATTGTGCTGGGGGATGCAAGCAGAGAACCTAGACTGTGTACATCAGGTGTCACTGCAAGTAAGTGCTGCCAAAGGAGGCAGAGCCAAACCCATCTTCTGCAGTTGGTAGTGGATGGCTTTGGGGTCTGTGGAAAATGGGCTTTCCTGTGCTGTCATCCCCATTCTTCTGGACCTGATGCCTCAACTGCATACCACTCAAGGAACCTGTTGGGTGGATCACACTCACGCAGTGAAGAGGGCCTGCTGTTGACAGGACACATCCTGTAATAAGGGGTCACTCTTAACTGCCATGGCAGTTGCCAAGTCTTCCTGCTTTGTGCGTGCTGAGGAGGAATGTGGCTTTCAGGCTTTGAAAGTGGCGCATGCAGGGATATCCCTGTCAGAGCAGGAGGCGTCTGTGGCTTCACCTTTCACCTCCCGAACCCCCAGCATAGCCTGTGTGCCAGAGCTGATCAGGTAAGTGTGGACTTCTGTTTCCTACGTCATAAAGAAAATGTTCCCAGTCCTCTCAGATATTAGTGTTGGATGTTCCCACCAAACCGGAATGTACGTATCTAGAGAGAAATAAATGGCTTTGACCTTGAAGTTGCCATTTGCCTAGTTCCAACTGTAATTCCTTTAAGATATATTAATTCCCTTAAATCTACAAGAGGAGGGCATTTACAGCTGAGCTTTATGTCATTAGCAATATTTTAAATGCAAAAGAAATAGCAAGATGAACAATGCTCTATAAAGCTGATGCCTACAAATCAACCTGTACACACTACTGTTAGGCCCTGCCTCTGATACCCTCTGCAAGCAAAACATCTCTTATGCCAGGATCCTGATTTTACTTACTAGGGCAGATGAATAACCAGGGAGAGTGCATTACCCTCACTGCAGGAGGAGAGGACTTGTTAGTTTGAACTCACCAAGCAGCTGCTGGGCTTTGTATGGTTTTCCTCATACCAAGCTATTACCTGCACTATCAATGTCAGCAGGAAAACTCACTAGGGTAAATTGTAATCTTGGGAACAGACATGACCAGATTCAAGCCCGTTCACTTGCAGCAGGATTTCTGCAAGTGAAGATTTTACTTTTTTTCAGACCATATTTTATTTATTTCACCTCCCAGCAAGGTACTGGCAGAGATTTCTCTACTTGTAACACATGCCTGTTTTTCAACAGGGTTTTGAGAGGGCTGGCAACAGGAGCAGACCCATCACCTAACTGCTGTCCTTCATTCGTGTCTCCACACAGGGAAGGCCGTGCTGCCCTTGTCACTTCCTTCTGCATGTTCAAGTACATGGCATTATACAGCACCATTCAGTACCTTGGTGTTCTCCTGCTGTACTGGGTATGTCTTGGGAACATGTTGGCTAGAACCAGATGACCTTACTGCTCCCTTGTAGGAGAAACATGGCATGAAAGCCACAGTAAAACTAGGGTATGGAGCTTTACCTTTATCTGAGCTGCAGATCTCTGTGGTGTGATCCTATGGTCCTCCTGTACTCTTGGTGGAAGACTTCCCATTAACTTCAGCCAGGGGGCTTAACATCCAAGCTGGGCAAAAAGAAGGCTGAGATATTGAAAAGTATTTTGGCTGAGGGCCTATGTCTGTGAAACAGGAGAATCTGGCATAAGCATATGCTGTTGCAATTTATTCAACATTTAAAGCATGAATTAACTTGACAGTAAGCAAAATCCCCTGGAGTGCCTTAAACCACTTTTGCATGGCTTCTTCCCAAATAGAGAGGAAGGCTTTGCATTCAGAAGTCACCCAGCATTGAGAAAACACGTCCCTTTCTGTTGCATTGAGTAAACTGGAAGCGTTGCTAGTGCGGCTGGTGCACAGAACGAGAGTACTCACTGCGGGCCCAGTGGTGACGAGCCTACTGGCAGGGTGCTGATTGTGTGGCCCCCTTCTCTGCTGAGTAGCATTTCAGAAAAAATAACACAGCGTTAGCTCCACGAAAATAGTGCAGCTTTCTGGAGACAATATAAACAAGCCCACGGCAAATGTCTGATGTATGTTTTTTTTTCTTTGTGTTCCTCTTTTCAGCAGCTAAACTCCTTTGGGAATTACCAATTTTTGTTCCAAGATCTGGCTATTACCACTGTAATTGGTGTGACAAGTAAGCCCCTTAGTCATCCTCTGTATTAATGAGAGAATGATCTCAAATATTTTTCACCTCCTTGGAAATGAATAATTCTATGTACAGATAGGAGAAAGAGAGAGACTACATAGAGTACAGGATGTTTAGATTAGTAGGGGAAGCATCTTGCTCGAGGAAAGCTCTGATACAAGACAGGTTCTTCTTAGTGGTGCATTTGCTGAAGCTGTAGATTGTTGATAAATGGGATATTATCTCCAGAAGGAGTAAAGCCAGACGTAATTCAGTAGAAAGTCTATTCAGGCTTTTCCCTGTTGACTTAGGAAGGCAGATTAAGAAGATACTTAGGGATCCATAACCAAATGAAAACTGTAGGTATTGACAGGGGTCCAACTCATATTTAAAGACAAGAAAGGAAAGTGTGATGAAAATGGAGAAGAAAGAGATGACAGATGTCAGACACTACACAGCAGGAAGCTGTAAGCCATGAATGACAGGGAACCAGTGGTGGAGGGGAAGGAGGAAAGACAGGGTTATTGAGATAGAGGAAATGCAAGGAGAGGTTTAGAAGCATGAATGGCAAGGGCAGAGGAATAAAAAGCAGGTAGAAAAACCACATAGCCGTCTTCTGTCTCTGCTGGAGCACAGACAACTGGAAATTGCCTTGATTAGAAAGCCTAAAAGGGTCCCACGATGCTGGGTACCAAAAGTTACCTTGCTGTAGGTAGCCCATTTGGAACACTGCATCAAGACTTTCTGCATAGCTCTTTTACTCAAAGTCTGAATAACTTCGTTAAACCTAAGAAGAGAGGAATACCTGTTGGGTCAGCTAGTGCAGTCCTCTCCCAGCAAAAACAGCTGGGCACTAGGTGTTTAGTCCAGGAGGATGCAGAGAATATGGGCAACAGAATATCGCAAGCAACAATTGTCAAGTGACAAAGAACAGGAGAGCCTGAGCATGCCCTTATATCCTTTGGCCTGACAGTAGCCAAATAAAATAAAAATACAACATTTTCTTTTCAAAAAATGCCTCATGGTCGTCAAAGGTCACTAATTAACCTCTTCTATGGCCAATAAGATTTTGTAAGAAAACAACTCCGTATTTTGTACTTGATATAGTACTTGTATGAAGTATAAAGACCATTATAGACTGTAAAATTGCTGGGTATTGGTAGCAGTCATTCACATACTCTCTCGTATTTTGGACACACTGATAAACAAGTCTGTGCACGTTTCAGTGAGTTTCACAGGTGCCTACCCAAAGCTGGTTCCCTACAGGCCTCCTAGCCAACTCATCTCACCCCCGCTGCTGCTCTCAGTTGTACTTAACATCCTCTTCAGCCTCAGCATGCAGATTTTTGGGTTTGTGGTGGTCCAGGAGCAGCCTTGGTACGGCAAGACCGATATACACGGGTAGGTCCCCTTCTTGGGATTCTGGGTGACACAGAGTAGACCTAGTGGGACAATAGTGATCGGTTTATCTACAGGCTTGATCAGCAGCTGCAGACAGAGCTTGTGCTTTGCAAGGGTGCAAACACATTAACCAGTGTTGTCTGCAGGTCCCTAGGCTCTCCAGCAAGTCTACTGTGCAGTGCACTGCATGTGGTGAGAATGCTTTTGCTGAGCACAAAGAGGAGTATTTGATTGCAGGGAAGACCAAGATATCCAAGCAGGTTTGAGCTCAGGCTCTGCCAAGTTCAGCAGACTCAGCCCAGTGGGTAACACTGAGAACACTGCCAATAACCTGCATCCTCGGGACAGCAGGAGTAAGCCATAGCTATGAGGGAGGATTCCTGATAGTGGTAGGGGAAGCTGGGGGAAATAACCAGGAGGGTGACATTCACTGCCCAGTGTGACACTCTTTTTCAGCGCCTGCCTCTCAAAGAACAGCCACATGGAGAATTCTTCCTCTGTGTCCAGCCTGGGGCTCAATGGGATGAGAGACGAAGACGATGGGCAAATGGACAATGGCTACAAGAGCTATGAAAACACCACAGTGTGGCTGCTGAGTACCATCAACTGCCTCATCGTGGCACTAGTGTTTTCCAAGGGAAAGCCTTTCAGGCAACCCATCTACACAAACTGTTAAGTACGGGGAGAGAGGGAGGGATCTGTGAGTAAGTCAACTGAGGAGGTCAATTCACTAGGGCAAAATGAAAGCTTGACTGAGGTGATGCCAGCTAGAAAGCAGGAGCCAAATATTAGATTTTTAAATTACTGAAGGCCACCTTTTTAGACCTTTTAGTACCAGTGGCATCCTGTGACCAGCAGTTCTCTGAGCTGGGCCCACATTTTGTGTTTCTCTACTGCTAACTTGGCCATGACATTTGGATTTCTAAAACAGACAAATGGAGTTTGGTAAAGACTTTTAAGGAGTAGTAGGAAGGTGGTGGTGGCTGGAAGAAGCATCATGTTACTTAAGGTAGCCTGAATGAGACAGCTCAAGAAGAGCCAGAATTAGATGGTCTCACTTTGCATTCACTCTTTAGAATAACTCTGAAAGAGCCCTGTGACAGTCTCCTCAGCACTTGCTGGTTGAGCAGGATTTGAGAGAACTCATGTTCAGGGCATTCTTTTTGCGCCCATCTCAGAAAAAAGCACCCAATGAAGTCTGCACATTTGGAGAGGCTGTTTCCTATTCCAAAACCAGACACATTTAGCATTTGCTAACTCCATGACCAGTAACTTCTTTAAAGAGGAAAGATCAAAGGAGGCAAAAACTTGAAGGGGCTGCAGTGAAGTCTGGTGGGTCAGTTCTGCCTCTGAAATACTGCCATATGAGGGGAAGATGAGCAGGTGTGATTGTGGCAGTTTTGGAAGCTGCAGTGAGGCATAAGAGAGCTGTTCTCTTTCTATGTGGGACTAATCCTGCAGCAAAGGCAAAGCTCTCTTCAGTTATTCTTTTTTTTTTTGCTGGAGAATTAAATTCATGCTGAAAGTTTCATGGCTTTGCTGTTTTGGTATGGTAATAGTGAGGAGGGGCCATTCCTCCTGTTTTGGCATGGTCATGGTGAGGAGGGGCCATGGATTTTTTTTTTTATTTTATTTTACTATTTGGCACAGAAAATTATTACAGTCTTCTGTAGTAAAGGCAAGCAGCTGAGGTTGCTCATAAATGTGTGGTTCTATTTGCTTGTTCTTGTCCCTTCAGATGTGTTTGTACTGGTGCTGATAGTGCAGCTGGGCGTTTGCCTTTTCTTGATGTTTGCCGATATTGATGGTCTCTACTCTATAATGGACGTGAGTATTGTTCCAAGACAGGTGTTCTTCCTACTGACAGTCCCATTATAAGTGCACTGGGATTGTTTTTAACAAAAGGCACAGATTTTTGCAGGGATATGTGGCACCTCTAAACACAAATAAAATTTAAAGAGATGGATTTTAGATGATGGATTGAAAACCTTTCAGAAATATGGTAGGTCTGAACTAAGATCTGCGTGTTCTGACACCTGGATAGCTACAGGTGTGCATTTGAAAGTTTCAGCTCATTGTCCATGCAGCAGATGACATCGCTAAGCTTACCATGCTTGCTATGTTGGTGACTTGAGAGTTGTGAAATGGGGAGAAGAAAGGGGCTAGGCCCTGCGAATTTAAACTCAAGCTGATGCACTTGTGTTTCTCAGACTGTGCTACTCTGCACACAGAACCTCTTGCAAAGATCATCTGGCGGTCGGCACTCACAGCACCTCTGGCGTCTCAGACCCCAGTATTTTCAGCCTCCCTGTTTAAATTTTGGACAGCCCACAGTTTCCTGAAGCAGCATTTGGATTTAGAACAGTTATAGAGGAAGACCAGTGGGGCTGTCACAGCAATCAAGGATATATCTTGATCTTTGATTAATCAATATCTGTAGGGCTTGGCTTACTCAGCCTGGCAGAATGCAAGCCGGGAGCTGCCTTGTGCAAATCCATCCCAGGGGAAGCACAAGGGAAGGGTAAGATTTACATCAGCCGTAGGACAGGGCTGTCAGTGGAGCTGCCGGTTAGTATGTTGAGGCTGGGAGATGTTAACCTCCTCCCTCCACCGTGACACTCTCACGGCCTCGTAGTAGGAATCACAGGAACCAAATGACAAAAGCAACAGACAGCTATTTTTTCAGCACATTTGTAATCAGAAGGATGAAATGTGGTGGATTTGAATATCAAGTACTGACATGCTGCTGCTTCCAGTCCTGTATGTTTGTGTGACAGTTAGGATGTGGATTTAGAAGCTGAAATAATGCAACATGGAACGAGAAACATAGACAAGGGGAACGGACCTGGCTTTTAAATGCCAAGCAGCCCACCTAAAACTGCCTCACCGTGTAACTGTTTCCAGTGCCATGGCTCAGCGGGCAGACCCGGTTAAAGAACTTGCCACGAGATGGCATTTCAAAGCAAGTCTTAGTGCTGGTGTGCACTGTGGTGACACAGGACATGATCAGCACTGCAGCTTCGAGGGGCTACAATGCCCTGGGGGAGAGCTGCAAAACTCCCAGCCTGGCGGGAGGGAATACGCTGGATTTGCTGCGCAGAGAAAAGGAGGGAGTGGCAATCAGAGACTCTGCAATAGCCTAGCCCTGGAGAAAATGCTGATCCAAATTTTGGATCTGACCTGCATCTCCAAAATATTTTGAGCTACAGCCAGAAAGCCAGTCCTGCCAGCTGTGGGGAACTGGAGCTGGGTTTGGAGCTGAATACTATTTCCTATATTAGAAAGAAAGCAATAATTTAAATTTCCTATTGCAGTTCTGGGTTATGGTTTTCCCTGCTGCTTCATAAGTTTAAAAGTGTCTTTATGAATAATTCCTCCAGACAAATAGCAATATTGGCTCATCAGCAGTGGGCAGCCTGTGTGGGATTCTGGCTTTTGATGACACAAAGCTGGTGAAGGCTCTAGAGAACAATTTATCTGAGAAGCTGCTAAGGGAAGCTGGGGTTGTTTAGCCTGAAGAAGAGGAGGCTCAGGGGAGACCATATCGCTCTCTACAACTGCCTGAAAGGAGGTTGCAGTGAGGTGAGGGTTGGTCGGTTCTCCAAAGTCACAAGTGGTAAGACAAGAGGAAATGGCCTCAAGTTGCACCAGGGGAAGTTTAGGTTGTTTAGAAATATTAGGAAATATTTCTTCACCAAAAGGGCTGTCAAGCCCTGGAACAGCCTGCTCAGGGAAGTGGTGGAGTCACCATCCCTGGAGGTATTTAAAAGATGTGTAGGTGTGGTGCTGAGGGACATGGTTTAGTGGTGACCTGGCAGTGCTGGGTCAACAGTTGGACTCAATGATCTTGGGGGTCTTTTCCAACCTAAGTGAGTCTATGATTCTGTGACACAAGCTTCCACCAGTTTCTAGTGTGAACACACATTGTTGAACAGCTTCTCCTGCTTTTTTTCCCAGCTCGTTTGTACCCCTTCCACGTGGCGGATCTCCATGGTGATAATGCTTGCAGTCACATTTGCTGTGTCCTTCCTTGTTGAGGTGAGCATGCTTCATTGAATGCACCTGTCAGCACTAATTGGAGAAACAAAAGGTTCGGGTCTCACTCCTTCTCCTTCCTCCTCAGCCCAGCTTGGGAATGTGTAGTAAAACAGGAGCCATTGCTGCTACCACTTTCCTCAAAAAACAGGAGTCCTTACTGCTTACTCTCTTTCCTCAAAGCCCCACATCTGAATGGTCAGATATGAGAGAATGCAAGGCCCAACCACCTTTTTGTTCCTCTGGTGATTGGGGTGTATTTGCCCCTGCCCTAGTCTAGAGAAATGTGGACAGTCTTTGGTGTTTTCTGCTCAGATCTTGAAGATCTTGTGAGGAGGAGCTGGTCCCAGTTTTCTGGTGAAGAGCTCTGGTGGAGGTGGTATGAGAAGTGGTCAATAAAAGTCCGTCTAAGGGATACGGATGATTAGGACAGGGTGGGAGATCTGGCCTTCCACTACTTGCTTTGTGTGTGTCCTGTGGATGAAGAGGGAAAACTGCTGTCCAGGTCCCCCTGAATTTTGCTTTTGCTCTTGCTTTTACAGGAAGCTGTCATCGAGAACAGACGCCTGTGGCTGTTCCTGAAAAAGACCTTCCAGTACCACTCAAAGAGTCATTACAAGAGGCTGCGGCGAGTGGTAGAGCAGGACTCGGCCTGGCCACCTCTGCACAAAACCTTCTTCTCAGATTCTGTGGCAGTATCAGTAGAGGGAAATATGGGAGGCCATAGCAATCCAATATTTGACAGCAGTGAGGACACACTCTGAGGGAAACTGCAGAGGACACATGTCCAGAACTGCTGCAAATTGAATATTGGCAAAGTGTTCATGGTTGGAAAATGCCGTTGCTGCATGCCTCTCTTGAACTGCACTGTGCCATCCATGAGGATGGGGGCTCCTCCAGATGAAAAGTTGCTAATTCAGATACCAGCACTCCTCTGAGGAGATCCTCTTCCAGAAAACAAGCAGAATTTACTCCTGATAGAGGCTGCTGAACATAGGAAGGTCCTGGGATTCCTGTAGCTCCGGGGGTTTCACATACTGCTACCTAGGGCCTGGTTTTTGTTGTTTCTTTTTCCCCCTGCTGTGAATGCTTAGCTTTCTAGAGCTGGAAGGATCTGCAAATAGCCAAAGCCTTCTAGAAGCATCCATTCCCAGCAACCATTACACTCTTCCCATGATGGGAACAACGTGGAATTGCTGTCTCACTGCTACCAAGCGACCTGTTTGCCATCTACTCAGTTTAAAACATGTAGTACTTACATTTTCTGGGTGAAAAATCTACTGACCTACAGAGCAGAATGATTTCATTGTTTAACAGTTCTTTTCTGAGGGAGGTATTTGGGATATCCATTTCAAAAAAGTAGAATGGAACACATGGTAATTGCAAATTATGATTTCATCCTGTGGGTCTACAAGGACATGCTGTCCCTTGTGTGTGAGCTTGCTCTACTAGAGTGGATGCTGCAGAGCTGGGCTGCTGCCTGGCATCAGCTCCTGGCTTACCAGTGCCAAAAGAAGCAGATGTTGAAGGGGTTACTATCCCCAAGGGCCTAAGGCCTGAATTAAAAGACAGGGAGCTAGCTAGGTTTCAGTATAATTTTATTAAATTCCGTGGCATGCTCATAGGTTGAACCATCTGAGGTTCTGGCTGTGGTTCCAGCTGTAATTACACATGCTACACACCATGTGTCATTTGTCAACTCATGCCCCTCACCTGCTAACCTTCGGTGACTTTTACTTACTCTGCTGAGCTGCTTCTGCCGCATATAAATGCAGCAGCACTGCACATTTCTGCGAGTTTTACCTGCTTAAAAAAAAAGCAGCTTCTACCAGCACATGTTCTCTCAGCCCGTCGATGAGAGGCTGGCTTCCTGCTCGCCGTGTTTTGCACCCGAGGTCCCTAGCTGTGTAAAGCAACAAGGTATCAGCCAGGGAGGCTTTGGGCCAACAGGAACTCTTCCTTTTTTGGATAAGGTGTGCAGGTGAGTTGTCCACTCTTAACCGACAGCACAATTTGTTTTTCATATCTGCAGCTTCCTGTGCTTTTCTTGGGTGGGGCGACACTGGGGCCTGTAAGTTCCCACTGTTAGATGCTAAGCACTCTTGCACTACCAGAGAAACCCAGAAGAATCAGGCAAGCTGGAAGTCTGTACAGATTCCTTTGGTCTTTTAGAGTAAAAAGCAGCTCTGGAAAACTAAAAGCAAATCAGAAGAGATTATGGATTGTTTTGATTCAACATGTCTGTACCAGAACACTGTTTAAGAAGAATTTAGCTTGACTCAAAAAATAACTTTCTAAACTTTCTTAAAGGATAAAAAAAAAAAAGTTTCAGCTTAAATAAAACATCTATTTGACTCAAAGCAATTTTTCCCTGGTTTTAGACAAGTTTGGCATAAGCAAATGGAGTAAATACCTCTCTACCTCCTTGCAGTTTACCTAATGGCAAATAACTGCCACAAAGCCACCCAGCTTGACAGAACCCAGCACTGGTTCACATTTATTCACAGAAGTGTCTCTGAAGTTAGCATGAGTTCCCAGCTTGCAGCACAATCCGCTGGCACGTAACTAGATGCTCTATGTACTCCTTGCAGCTTCAGGAGACACCGAAGAGCAGGTCAGTGGAGCTACTCCTGCCATCCTCTGTTTGAGACACCGTAACATTGTCCTCAGAGACCTCCTGCACACCAGAAATATGTTGCTGCATGTGATAAACGGGCAGCTGCAGCAGCATCGTGGACTAGATGTAATTTACGTTTAGGTCACCACTGACAGCATAAAGGTGTCAACTCGTGGCAAACCTGTGGCAATTGTGGGGTCAACAAGATCAGGACCTGCTTGCCTGCTGCTGAAATATTCCCTTACCTCCAAGAGAGGAGAATGTCATGCTAGGTGACATTTAACTTCTGCGGCTCTTTAAGCTGTCAGTTGTGTTCCACCATCCCATGCCGTGTCTCCAGCCATATTTGGCAGACGTTTTATCTTCCCTCAGTGGTGTCAGCCATGCTTCAATCAGCAGAACTGTGCCATGTGTCCCAGCTGCACTGACCTGTGTATAAAGCATGACTTGGTGGCCATCAGGAGACAAGCGATGTGTTAGGCCAGTCCTTCCTGCAGAAACTGGTTCATTTGCACACGTAAAATCCCTTGTGTTCCACTCCCTCACCTCTGCTGGAACATCAGATCCACATCCCAGTGTTAGGCTGGTCCCCTCAAGCCTGGACTGGGAATGTATTTAGGGTCAAGATGGGGAATAAGCCCAAACAGAATCTTCAAAGAGTGTTCAGGATTCACATCTCCATTTTGCATTTTGAGGTTTTCTCTAATTTGAAAGGATCTTATACTTCTGGAACTCAGGACAGCATGAACAGCGGTGAGCACCTTCCTGCCTGCAGTCCATCTACCAGGCACCTGCCGTGCTCCTTTTGCCCACCCTCACTGGGGCACGCAACAGAGGCAGGTACAACGTAGGTGCTCAGCTCTGAGCAGTTAAACTTGCTGCTTGGCTCTCACAGCTTGTCACACTGACAGAACAGCAGAGAAACAGGAACAAAACCACAAAACTCAGCCACTCAATGAGAAGAGTTGGTTTGTAGGAGTATTATAAGAGTATTTTGCAAATGCTGGGGCTGGGGAAGGGCAGGGACAGATTGAGAGCCCTGGATGTGGCTTCCCCAGTCCCTATCTGCAGTCCAAGCTGTCCAAACACAGCTGAGCTCCAGGCTCACTTTCACCTTTTGTGACTGGCAGTGGACACTGGTTGTAAAGCCCCTGGTGATCTTTGCCAGCAGACACTGTCCATCCTGGTTAGCTCTCTACAACTAAATCAAAGGGGCAGACTCTCTGGAGCACAGCCAGTCCACTGAGCTGTGCTGCCACTCTGAGCAGCTAATTTCAAAATTTAATTTTCCTTTTGAAATGCGCTTGTCCTAGCTAATGAAAGAAGAACATCACTTTTATTTTTGTCTTTCCCATTTTTTATGACTTATTTGTCTTGATACAATCATCACAATTTTTTCTACTCATCAGCACTCTAGAGCTCAGCCTGCTAGGCAGCACACACAGCCAACGGAGGAACAAAGCTCCTTTTAAAAGATGCAGACCCTCGCCAACAACAGCTGTAGGTGTGCATAATATTAACAGGCCAGAACTTTTCACAAGACATACCAGCTTTCCACTCACGTAGCACCTTTTGTCTGAGGAACTTGATGCACTTGCTGCAGCTCTTGAGGAGAATTACAGAGAAGGCAAAGTACCTGCCAAGGATCAACCAGAAAAGGAAAGTACAAACAGCTGGTACCTAGACCACTCAGTTCAGGGAAAGAAAACAGAAAATTCCTATATCGCAGGTGTCTGAGGCCAACAACTGGGTTTAGAGGACTCGTTACTTACATTTATAGCTTCTAAAGGCTTCATGGTGGAAAAATAGACCAGACAGGGCTTAACCATCTAGAGCCTTTGTCTCGTTGGTGGGCAGATGACACCCAGCCCCTGAGCGGGAGGGTCATGCTGTGCTGTGTGATGGGTCAGTGCACCATGAGCTAATTGCCACATGCATGCCAAGAACAGCAGCTCTCAAACACAACCTTGGCCAAGCCAGGCTGAGAAAATTTGCTTCCTGGTTGGCTATCAGCAGTGGGGACACAACTCCTATTCTAAGGCAGTAACTAGAGTGTATCTGAGATATAAAAAGTATTTGTATAGCTCAGGAGTGTCCTGTTTTCACAGAGTGCCTTGTGGCTGGTGACCACAGGAGGTGTTTATCACTGACAGCTTTGGTTACTCGGTGTAGGTCACTGTAAGTAAAATGGAGTCAAGAAATATCCTTCTTCTTTAAATCTAATTAACAAATTTCTTCAGGACTTCCTAGATGATTAGCAGGCAGGGTTAGAATACAAGCCTCCCACTTTATTGTAGAATTGCTCCAGCCTTTCTCCTAGACCACGTGATAGATCATTCAACATGAAGGAGTGTCTTCTGTCAAGAAGAGAGTGAGGCAGGAGAGAGAAAGAGGAAATCAGGACATCATAACAGGCTCTTTCTCCTGAACATGCAGATTCCTTGGGAGGGACTGGAAGAAGTGGTTTTGGACCTGGGAAGTGATTCAGAGAATAGGAGATATGTTTTCTTTATGTCTTGCTCTCCTCTAGCAACCCACCCAAGGTCAGATAAATCTTGATTCGATAGGTCCAAGCCAGGAAAAGCAGCAATGTTCCCTCAGCCATTCTTCAATTAGCAAAGTCCTACTACTGTATGCAATCCCCACGCACGTGCCAGTGAGTGCCCAACAGGTACTCCGAGCAGTTGCCACAAGTGCCTGTTGCTGTAAAGCAGCAGAGCTCTGCAGAGGTCAGAGGAGCAGCACCCCTGGGCACTGCCAGCTGCCTTCTGTGCCCTGCACTGAGCCTCCAGCCTGCCACTCCATTCCTCCTTCCCATCACCCTTAGGCAGCACTCGCTGCCTCTTGCTGCTGACTTACACGAGAGCCTCAAGCTGCCTGTCACAATGCTGCTGCTGCCGCTGAATCTTTACAGCCTTTCAGAGCACAAGGCATAGAGGAGCATCCTATGCTTTCAATATAGACTGTAGAACAGGAATGTGGATGTGCCAGCCTATGGCCTGAGTCCAAGGCTTTTAAGCAAGACAGGCATTCATCAGCTGGACCAATCTTTCTGTCCCAGTGACTGAGTTTTTGTAAGCTCAGGCAAGCATAAAATGTAGGGAAGAACATGAGGACATGTGGAACTACCTATGAAAGGCTTGGTGGCTGTGTTCTGGTAACAGAGGGTACCTCTGGAGGGCT